TTCTTGACATACTTGTATCATTTACACCAAGCCCCCTGGTCAGGAAAATGGACTATCATATCTCCAGCCCAGGAGTGAGGCCAGACTCATCTGGGGTTTGGAAGAAGTGCTGGCCCCGGAGAAAGTGTAGGTGCTGCTATCAGAAGAAGGGAGGGAAGATGCATGCCAAAAAAGCTTTGCACTAGCAACTCCATGCAAATAGTGGGAAACACCTTCCCATGGATCTCTCATGGGTCAAGGCAAAACTGGTCTGAGAAAGTACCAGAAGCCATGTGAACTGGCTTGATCTCACTGCACAAACTAAATCAAGGCTCTGTTACTTAAAACATGTTACTCCATCTGACAGAAACTGCTCAGTGCAATTCACAAATCTTCAGTGAGTTCTGCTATGATTTGAAGTTGCATTAACCCCAGAAGTCATGGATTAGGAAAATACTCCCCCAAAGTCATGTGCTAATGACACTACAAGGTAGATCCTTTGGTAGGTGACTATGTCATAAGGACATTGACTGAATGAATGCTTATCAAGAGAGTAGGTTGATTATCACAAGAGAGAGTTTGGCAATTTTTCATGAACCCCTCACCAAGTGAGTCCTTGTCCAGCCTAGTCTGGGGATTTGGCCGAGACTCTTCACCACTAAATAATGCTTTCATTAGAGGGTCCCTCCTTTGGACCTCCCGACTTCTGGGACTCTGGGGGGAAATCTTTCTTTACAAATTACCCAGACCAGATACAGGCATTCAGCAACAGAATAGAGTTTCCATGAGAATGAATGAATGTAAATTTGTTCACAGCTCAGACAGTTAGACAATGCCTGGAATTGGGTTTTCCCTTGCATCGTATTCTGTAGGTGAGGAGGGAAATTTTGTAAGGTACTCAGTAATTTCTTGGCCATAGTCTTCTTGTTTTTTCTAAAAGATGGTTTCTGGAAATCAAATCTAATGCAAGTCTCCAAAGGCAGAAGTGTCAGAGGCAGAACTATTGGGTAAAAGTGCCCAGAAACAAAGAATGCAGCTCCGTTACTCTGTGATTAGGAGTGCAGTGTAAAGTAGAGGGAGAGAAAGGAGAAGACAAACAAGAGAGATGAAAAGGTGAAACTTCTGCTCACAGGAAACTTTCCAAAGTTAATAGATAATAGAAACGCTTTTTTTAGCCAGCAGCGGTGGTGGTGCATGCCTTTCATCCTTGCTCTTGGGAGGCAGAGGCAGACAGATCTCTGTGAGTTCAAGGCTACCCTGGTCTACAGAGCAGGTTCCAGGACAGCCAGAGCTGTTACACAGAGAAACCCTGTCTCAAAACACAAAAACAAAAAAGGAAGGAAGGATGAAATAAAGAAAGAAATGCTTTCTTAAAGCAAAAAATAGAACAAAACAAAAAAAACATTCTGGTTATGGATAGTCTTCCAACAGATATTTGCTGACTGCCTCAGGGTCACTGTGCTTACGGCTATCGCTTAAAATACAGTGCCCACCCCCAGAATTCCTCCAACACTTGTTTTGAAATCTGTGACCTCTTCCACCCTTTTTCCATTTCCAGTAAATAACTGAATGTCATATTTGCTGTCTGCAATAAGCATATCACTCCATTGGAATACTCTCATGACCTGACTTAGTAACAGTAAAAGGCAAAAGTAGCCATATCTATGTTTACAGACATTCTACCACAATGGAGACTCTCATAAAAATCATACAAAGTATTCAATATCTGGCTTCTGCTTTTATTCTCCCCTCATTTCTTTTGGTCTCTACCTCTCATCAACACCTTCCCCAGGTCGATCACATAGTTTATTCCACCTGAAACATGGACTCTTTATAACACAGTACTGCCCTTCTGGTCCCTTAGCCTTGCTTTCTCTCCTTGAAACACCCCTGGCCCCGTCTTCCAGCTCTGCTCTTGATTCATTGGCTCATTCGTCACATCTCTCCAGGACACATCCTTGTGTCAGGTAATATGTGGATCTTCTAGGTGGACCAGTGAGCGGAGACTGTGATTTCCTTGAGGCACTTATGGTACGTGGCCAGAAGGTGTAGGTGGCCAGACCTCTGTGTAACTATGGTCCCTTCTGAGGTTCCAAACCTGGAGCTTTCATCAAACCAAAGAAGCAATCTTGATGATGATTTTTAAGTTGGAGCCTGCAGGGTAGAATAGAAGTGAGCACCATATTCCTTGAGGGACCAAGAAGGGTCATCCAGGACTAAATGTGGAATACATAATCTGGTAGTTTGTTGAGTATAATGTTATATTCTAATGAACTTGGGTAAAGATTTTGTCTCATTGAGAGTGTAAGCTCATAAAGCCCATGTTTCCCCACAGGTGGTACACAATTTCTTTGTGTTGTCTCTTGTTCTTGTTTCAGGGACTGACCTGGATACATAATACAGCTAGCTCATGAGCTCTATGACTTCTATGATAGTGCAGTAGTGTGTGCTGACTACTGTTCCAGATGATGGCAGATGTTTCAGATGAAGGCAGAGATACAGATGGGGGCAAGCAAGGGGCATCAGAGTGCCATAAGGATTGTTTCTTACATATGTTTGCTTCCTTGGGAAGGGGAAGGGGAGGTTAAAAAACAGTTTGCAGCAATGCTATCTATACTATCATGTGTTTATTTCTACACACACACAGACACACACACACACACACACACACACACACACACACACCATTTCTTTCTGATTCCTTCCCTGGCTGGTCAACTTAGGCCAGTTTTGTCCAAACACCAAGGTGCACTGCTTTTCTGTGCAGCTGTTCCTTCTAGCTGTGATCCTCACTCTACTATGATGTGTCTCACTTCTGTAGATGTGAAGTTAGATGCTTTGTGGCAACTGACCCAGGAGTCCTGTAATAGACTGGGGTATTGCCTCTGCTGCTTCTCTGCAAGCAAATCTTTGGTTGGTAATGCTTTCATGAGGTGTCTGTATTTGAATGTGGGTGTCTGATTGTTGTTAAGAACCTCTAGGGGCCTTTCTCCTCTGAAACAGCATTGTCATCTAAGCTTCAGTAGTGACGAGCTACATGTGGGCACTGAGCATCTGAAATGTGGCTTCAATTGAGGTGTTCAAGAAGAGGAAAGTACACACTGGTATCCAAAGACTTGGATTTAAAAAAAAAGAAGAAGGAAAGACTGCTAGTCCATTTTCTGCTGTTCAAACAGTCCCACAGACTGGGCTGATATGCACAATAGACATTTATTCAGCTCATGTTTCTGGATGCTGAGAAGTATGGGAGGTTTGGGACCACATCATTAATACTCACAGAGGGATACACAGGTACAATATCACTTCCTGATGAGCTACAGGTGAACGTGGAGCCTAGTGTTTTCCATATGAGAAAACAGATGTTCTTGTGACTGTGCGTCTATTTGCTTTCAGAACAACTTTTAAATGGCCTCTGTGTTGTCTTCTTTCTATAAACCAGACTGAAACACACCGAGGAAAGTTTCAAAATAAATTAAACCTTAAGTCAGTATTAAACTTCAAAGTGGGTTTGTCAATATCCAATTTTCAGACATAATAGGACATGGAAACTTGGCAGGGTGTGCTGCTCATCCTGGGCAAAGGCCAGCATTTCCCATCCAGAATCTAACCAAGCCTCCATTAGTTGTGGAATCAACTGTGATTGGTTGTTTATGAACACAAGAGTATACCACAGTGAGTTCTTTTCCAGGCAGCTGCACATGATCCATTTATAACCAAGCAAGCTTAGAATCAGTAGGAACTCTGAGGAGGCTGGAAGGCAACTCCCTAACTTCCACTTCCTCAGTCAAATGGGGTACAGGCAGGAAGAGGAGAGACAATCTGAATGTCAAAGCAGGACAGCCAGGATTCCTAGTAAGGAGTCTGCTGGGCCCTTGTTAGCATGGCAGCTCGGGGATGGGGGTGGGGAAGAAAAAATATCTGCTGTACTCAGGGATTGGGGTAAGGTGACCAGGGCACAGCCCACATTGCTGGGCATTTTGAGGAGACCGCCAGAAATAAGGAAGTAATAAGATTGGAACAAAAACAAAATATCTGGGGGCTGAAGAGATGGCTTAGCAGTTAAGAGTCCTGGCTGCTCTTCTAGAGAACCTGGGTGAGATTCCCAGCAACTACTCTAGGCTCACAACTGTCTGTAACTCCAGTTTGAAGAGATCTAGCACCCATCAGTTGTCACCGGGCACCCAGGTTGTGCATAGATATTATGCAGGTTAAACATACAATAAAAGTAAATGAATAAAATTGAAAAGCAAAATCTCTACAAAGTGACTGCCAAAGAAAACAATCAAAATCCCAACATCTGCAGATTCTACTGGCCACCTCCCCAGGAGCCAGCAAGGGGCAGATTTTACCCCCTTTGTGACCTGCTCTGGGGCCACAGGAAGGCTATCCAGGGTCAGTGGAAGTAGCAGGAAGAGGAAAGCACTGTTTAAGAAAGGAATTGTAACTCTCAAAGAGTGCAAACACACCCTCACATACCGCATGGTGCACTGGGTATATGGATTTGGATCGAACCCGAATGTTTTAAAATCTTAATTTTTACTTTTGATTTATTTATTGATCTGTTTCCTAAGGGGTTCCTTTCTAGGTTCTGCGTGACTCTTAATCCTTTTAAGTAAGTCCAAAGGAAAAAGAAAAAGGCGGCTTGTCAAGAGGCCTCTGTGGACAGTGAAGTGCAAGTCGAATCTACCCCTGAAGAATTCCCTTTGCTCAGACAAATCGGGGTGTGGCCTGCCGCGGCCTCCAGGAACTCCTGAAAACAAAACTCCAGAAGTCTCTGGGATGAGGAGAGGATGGGATAGATAGGTGGGTTGGAGAAGGGTAGGGATGCAGAAGCTGGGACAAGAGGAAGCAGGGAACTGGGATCTGGGGGGCGCCAAGGCCGCGAAGGGCTAAGCTGAGCTGGAAAGGCTTGGAAACCCCTAATCCGGCGAGGGGCTGAAGCGGTGGGCAGCAGACCCAGACAATCTCACAGGCCCTAGCTGTCAGTCTGACAGCGGCCCAGAGACCTGGGGGGTGGGGAAGGGGCGTCGCTTCTGTTGCTCCCGCCCTCTCCAGTGTATTGGGCGGTGCCTCGCCACTTTTTTTTTTTTCTCTCTCTCCTTTTTTCTGTCTCACCCTCTGGTCCCTCTAGCTCGGCCCTGTGCCTCTGCTTAGCACCCCGGCGCGGATCCCTGGGTTGGTCTGGCCTGGGCCATTGACGTCACCACTAAGTTTGCTGTCCTTTGCGTCCCACGTGTGGCGGTAGCGGGCAAGGAGGCTGCAGGGAGCTTCTAGGAGCACAGTGGCAGCGGCCGCTGACAGGTCCCCAACAGAGGGTCCACTCCAGGCAGCTCCCAGCTGGGGCCCCAGAGGAGTGGGTAGGTTCCGGAGTGCCTCAAGAGGTCAGAAGGCTGAGTTCTACTCAGACAGGGGGACTAAGGGAGCCTGGCTCCGTGCTGAGACCTTCTGAGCCGGGACTCTGAGTGCGCTCCTGGGAGGGCCAGGAGAGCAGAGCAGCCAGCGGCTGGGAAAACGGTCACTCGCTTTGTCCGGAGCGCACGAAGCTCTGCGGTCCGGCAACCAAGCGTCCCTTCCACTGGGACCTAGCCAAGGATGCACTGTCGCTGTGCCTAAGGACCCTGCTGAGCCCAGCTCCTCCACCACCCCTGCCGCAGAGACTGCCTTGACCGGCGACTCTTGGGACCCAGAGCTCCGAGCCCCGCTAGGCTCAGGACTCCGTCACATTTCAGACCCGAGACGATGGTTTCTTAAGCACGGCCCCGAACCCATTCCTGCCCCTTCGTCCGGAGCCCGGGACCCCAGAAGGGCTCGCGGCTTTTGGTCCCTGCTCCAGCTCTGACCGTCGCCCCGCGGGGCAGCTCTTGCGCACGCAGTGGCGCTGGGGAGATGTGGCCGCAGGTCAGCGAGCAGGATGGCAGGGCTCCCGGTGCAGTCCCGGCCTAGCATGGCCCGCGCGTCGTCAGTCGCCTCTGGCTAGGATGGCCCCCTCGGGCCCTGCCTGTGCCCAGCCCAGCCCGGCTGAGCCACTGTCGCGCAGCATCTTCAGGAAGTTCTTGCTGATGCTCTGCTCGCTACTCACTTCCCTCTACGTCTTCTACTGCCTGGCCGAGCGCTGCCAGCCCGGGTCAGGCCCCGTCGCTGGGGTCCCGGGGCGTGGAGTCCCTGCAGGACCGAGGGACCTGGCGGCGTGGCCCGCGGGGGCGCAAAGGAAGCGTCTCCTACAGCTGCGGCAGCGGCGGAGGCGCGGACGGCCCGGGCCAGACGACAGCAGCGACCAGGACGAGCAGAGCCCTGGGCTGGCCGCCGCTCCAGGAGGCTCCGGGGCGGGAAGCAGCCTGGTGGAGGCCCAGTCCGGGACCCTGGCCCTACTCCTGGACGAGGGCAGCAAGCAGCTGCCGCAGGCCATCATCATTGGCGTGAAGAAGGGCGGCACGAGGGCGCTGCTGGAGTTCCTGCGCGTGCACCCCGACGTGCGCGCTGTGGGCGCTGAGCCCCACTTTTTCGACCGCAGCTACCACAAGGGCCTTGCCTGGTACCGGTAAGCTTCGGGAACTCCATGGGCATTTCTGAGGGCAGGCCGAACAGAGGGGGAAGACTTGGGAGGGGTGGCAAGGGGAAACAGTAGCTGTCCCCAACTGGGGCTTTCATTCCCCTTCTCCTTTGGGAGGGGCAGATTGAGAGAGAAAAGGGGGTTGTCTTGACTTTAATCTTCAAAACATCCCTAAGTCACCCTTGTATTTAGATAAAGAAAAAAAAAAAAAAGAAGAAGAAGAAAGACCGGAGTTTCCTTTAAAGTTAGAAACCTGTTCGACATTACTGGGCTATCTCAGCAAAGGAAGCCTGTTTCTTTTGGGTAATACTCTGTGGTTAACACGGTATTTGCTCCGGTATTATTTGCCTTGACCCTTTGCCAGATAGTGGTCCAAGATGGTAAGTCATACAGAAACTTAGTAAAAGTGTCAAGTGCCCAGAGTCCATGTAGTTTGGATAATCTATGTCCCAGCAAGTGCCAGCAGCCAGTTTCTGGGTTTTAAAGATCATTTCCTTGGTAATACCATTGGCCTGACAGAAACTTCTCTAAAGAGTTCCAAAACATTATCTTTACAAATAAGATAGCTAACTTTAAAAGGGAAAGAGGTTTAAAAAAAACTAAAAGAATCGTGGAAAAATGCAGTGCAAAAGAGAACCTCACTTGAAAGGTAAGCTAATTTGCCAGTGTCGAATTCAGATCACCTATAAGAGTTAGCCAAACTCCAATAAATTCTAGCGTGGCCTGGATTTGGTTTGAGGTAAAAATACTGATCCACCCACCCTCCTCCAAGTTCAAGGAAAATATCATATGGTTAGAATTTTCCCATTTTATAAAGTTCAGCCTATTCATAAAATATTCGTTCTCATTATAACTGAAACAATATTAGAAAAGTTATGACACAGTTGAGATACACGGAAGGAGCCATTCATAAAACAGAACCGGGCATGATGTTGTGACGAGTGTATTCACGTGTGGGGTCAAGAACATGTTCCAATTGATTTCAGGGGCTGAATTTATAGTTCAGTCCTAAAAGAAAAAAAATCAGATCCAAACATTAAACACTTCTAAATACAGTAACTTTCCATTCATTGGAAAGAAAAACAATCAGCCTTCCTCGATGCAGAATATATATCATTTAAAATCATCAGCCACTTAAAAAATTCCCCCTCCCCCGTGTTTCCGTCATTTACATTGTACCCTCTGGGAAGTTCCTTTAAAATGACCTGTTGAATCTGGACAACAGGTCCTTCTTCTTAACACAAAGGCGGTTCTGTGCTATTCCTCAAGGACACAAGAAAGAAGTGATTAAAGACCCTAAAACTCTTATCTCTAGCCACTCGAATTGAATTCAGCCTCGTACAGTGCTGGGAGGGACACATTTCAAGCCATCAGTCTGAAACATCTAGGCCAGTCGTGGGCTCTGAGGTCCTATTAAATATGGTGAAATATTTAGTACTAACCTCCTTTATTTTCGTTTTGCTCTATAAACTTTATTTCCACAAGGTACGATTGTTTCTTCTTATTGCAACAATGTCTATTTGAGGGCACAGTATAGCTACAGACCTGGGTCTGATTTTCTGTGTAACTTTCTGGAATCATGTAAAAGCAGGAAGGTTTCAAGTAAGTAGAAACACAACTACTTAAAAAAAATAAAAGGGGCAGGGAAACAAATAAAAAGAAAAAGTCATAAACTCCAGCCACCCTGCCCTTTGGAGACTGGATGTGTGCTATGAAGGAAATCTCCTTGGGTTGTTTACCCCGGCAGAGGAGTTCTATAAAGCAATTTATGGTGGTTACAAAAATAACTGCACAGTAGACTTCATGGTTTGGTGAATTTAATTTTCCAAGTGTCGGAACAATGTCTTTGTTTTAACATTCACAGTGAGTGATTTTTTTTATTGGATGCATAAATTTAAGCTCACTGAATTATATGAAAAACTCCTTTAAAAAAAGAAAACAACCCATGGAGCCTGGATTATGGGATTATTTAATGAAATTTCTCCCACAGTTCCTTTTCATCTTGACTCTGAACTTGGAGTTTGATGTTTGTGAGAAAGACTGAAGATTTAACTCTCTGTGAGAAAACCTCACACGGAATGCCTTGAAGCTACTGTGTATTTGGGCTACTTGTATTTACCTAATATTTAGAACAAGGATCTGGGTAACCCTTCCTAAGTTACCCCAAATTTGTGATAAAGAATTTCTACCACACATTCAAGACCACACACACACACACACACACACACACCATACACACAGGGGGGGGGAGAAAAAACAAAAACCAAAGTTTCTATTGGAAAATTGAATAAAAGAAAATTAGGGAAGAGAAAGATATGGATAATATTTTATATGCTTATTGACATGTGGGAAATAAAAAATGTCTAGCCTCTGCTTCCTTCTTTTTCTTTCCACCTTCCTCCCTCCCTCCTTCTCTCCTTCCTTCCTTCCTCCCTCCCTCCTTCCCTCCCTCTCTCCTTTCTCTTTCTTTCTTTCTTTCTTTCTTTCTTTCTTTCTTTCTTTCTTTCTTTCTTTCTTTCTTTCTTTCATTCCTGAGTGTCCTAACAGTTGACTGTGGCAGTGCCCCCTACTGTCCTCACAAAGGGAGAGAACTGTTGCTTTTAGAAAGTTTGACGAAATCACTTGGAGAAGGAGTTTGAGAGGTATAATATCCTGTTTCTGAGATGTTTCTGTATATTTCCACCACCAAGAAGAAAATAAATTATGAGATGATTCCAGAAAACAATTATAGTAGAATTAAAGTGAATTTGTTATTGAACATTGAAACAGGATGTTCTTCTTATTGACTTAAGCATTTGATGTCTCAACAAGTCTGCTGGCAATGTTTTTGTGTGTGGAGACTTGTTCCTAATAACTCAGGACAGGTTTCTGGGTATGAAACTCCACCCTGATTTGAAAAGCATTCCTCGAGACTTAATTTTAGCAGACATGATATCTGTACGACAAATGTCTGTGCCTTTCGTGTGTGTCATGTGACACCAATCATTCGAAATGAACAACATCCATTTCCATTGCGTGGATGGTATAATCATGAAGGAGACTGGAAATCTTTTCACTCTCTTCAAAATGTGGAGGTCTTTACTGCAAGTCAAGACCAGTGAGTGGCCTTTATTGCAGTTCAAGGGCAGGTGAGCTTTGAACTGAATGAGGAGGGCCTTTTCCCTGCTTGTTTATTACACCTGCAGAGAAAGTATATCCCACTTTCCCTACAGAGACAAAGGACATGTATTTGTAACTATTTGAATAACCTACACATGTGCATATTCGTGCATATCTACATCCGTCCTTTGGTATCTGTGAGGCAATGGTCCCCATCCTCCTGTAAATAACAAACTTCTCAGATACTCAAGTCCTTTTTATGTAATGGCACAGTATCTGCACATGACTTAAAGCATGCCCCTCTGCACTTTAAATCATATGTGCAGTATTTATAATGTGCGTGATACAATGTAAATTTTATGTAAAGAGCTGCTACAGTATTGTCTAGGGAATAATAACAGAAAACAGTCAGGACATGTTCAACACAGATGTAAATTTTTCTGCATGTTTTCATACATAGTTAGCAGAGTCTCTGGATGTACAACCTGTGGATACAGAGGGTCTGCTATGCATCTGTCTATCCTCTATTTATCCAGCCACACGTCCACATAAACACACATGCTTATGCATGGCTCCGGTAACACTCTATAGTTGTATTTGGGAGATAATAAGAAGCATTCATTATGCTGTCTTTGGTGCTTGCACGTCCCACATTTTAATTCCCTTCATTAGCAAGTCTGGGCCATTTCAGCAGAGAAGGGTATCACATTGTAGCACACAGTTAAGACTGAAGACGGCTCAGTTTTGGAGTTACTGTTCTCCTGACTTCACCAAAATGTGAAAATGTTGACCTTTCACGATCATGGCCTTATTTTTCAAGGCCACTAGAGAGTCAACTTGAGCAGAGGAACTTCCGGCTTCTGGGAGAACTCTGTGTTTTGTGGCAGCTGGGAGCAGCTGCAGAGTACCTCCAGGAACCAATCCCATCTTCTGCACCACCATTCCCTTCTACACAAAAAGTCTGAAATTTAAACCAAAGGAGGTTTAGATCCTGGCCACCCATGCAAGGTCATATGGACTGAAGTCCAGGGACTGTGGCCTTGAGTAAGCAAGGAACAAGACTGAGAGGACTCCGAGCCCAGGGGATCCATGTCTCTGGAGAAAAAATGGACCTACTTCTTTTATGAATATAATTCCCAGGAGCTCTGAGTGACTGGATACTTCCCACCTGTTCTCATTGTCTGAATTCTGAATTCTTTCCCTGTAGATGCCACTGGTAATTTAATCAGCTCTCTCTCTCTCTCTCTCTCTCTCTGTTGCACACACATATACATATATATATATGTATAGAAGTATATATGCAATAGATGAGGAAGGGATAGATGAACTTCATTAAATAATTAGGGAATGACTTAGATGTGCTTGGTGTAGGAGGGGCATCGGTTATCCTGGAGTTGCAATTCCTTGAGTCTGCACATTCTTGTGTGTGCATCCCCTTAGAATCCAAGGGGTATAATGTGCTGACACACTTTGTGTGAGAATGCAAAGACAGTCTCTGGGTGGAAATCCCCCACAGCATTGTGATCTCCTGCCCCACCTTCCCTTAAAAGAAAACACTCTGGCCCAAATATTTGTCTCATATAAATAAACCGGTTGATTGGCCAGGGAAGACTAAGTGCCAAGGCTGTATTTTAGAGGGGTCATGGGAATAAAGTAAGCCTGTGCAATTAATGACAACAGGGGCTACCCTTACATAGACCAGATGTTCACATCATGAAGAATGCTGGTCACAAAGCAAACAAGCCTCCTTGATATAAACAACCATAAGAACTGGTCATCTCTCCATGGGACACACTCAAACAACTGTAAACTGTAGTCACCATCAGTCCTAATGCTGGGTCCAGGCAGGAACCCTGAGGGGGAAAGACCCCCGCCTCATAGAGGTATGG